ATGCTCTAAAGGCGCTAGGGAAGAAGAAGCCTTTCTAAGAATTCATCCTAGCATATGGAATAAGAAATGTGCCTTTGTTGGGACTAAGCACACCACAAGCAGGAAATAAACTGATTACACTGCAGTCTGGTGATACAAATGCCTAACCTGTGACAATGGATCAAAGATCTCATTAATGGCATGAGACGTTGCTAAGTTGAGACATAAAATGCCACAGACATGATGAAAATACTTTATTGACAGCTGGTTGTGGCATTGTTTTTGTTAGTTATAAAGTGTTTGAAATTTTCCAATCTAACGAATGTACTAAACAAGATCATAAACATATTGTCTTTGTCTTCAGGTCTGAGTAGGCATCATTCTTCTGAAATTGTAGAAGTGAATGACAGAGTTGTGGTTGCTGGACAGCGGAAAGGAACTGTCAAATTTATTGGGAAAACACATTTTGCCCCTGGTAATAATTGTACTTTTTCAATATCAGTATATGATATTTTATGTCAAGGAAAAGTTCTTGATATTTTCATAATATGCAAAAATGAACAAATCAAATTTGTATCATATTTCTATTTCTAAAACTACACTTGGAAAACTGAAAAAAAAAGAACAATAATACAACATTAATGTGTATAACAGATCCATAATATGACTATTTGTTAGTTATTAAATTGATTGTTGCAAAGACAAATTGTATGCAATGATGTGGAGAAATGCCATGAGAGGTTGTTGCCATACATTGTTGCATGGCTGCCAGAGATGTCTGTTAGTTGGACATATTTAGCTTTACTTCCTTCTCAAGCATCATATCTAATACTCCTGTTGTCATTGTACTACTGTTCTCTGAAGAAATGGCTGATCAAGTTGTGGATTGTAAACATTAGGATTGTGACTGTCAATTAGTCATCTGATTGGCATGGTTTCATTCCTCCACTGCAGGCACGACATGGCCTAAATTGTGCAGATAGGCCTAAAATCAAATTCATCTCTCCACTGCATTCTTTATTGGTGGCAGACTGTCCTGTACTCTTACGTTGATCCTTCACTGATATGGAATGTGATGGCCAGATTGTCTGATCCTGTCACCCCTAAGTTTCTCAATGTTGTGACCATGAAACCCTTGTGTTTGATCAAAGAGAGCTACCACCAGATAATCTAGATCTAGAACTCTGACTAGGTTATAACATTATGATGTTAGATATTATATATGTATGTATCATACATACTGTTGGTGCGATTTTTCTGGATATCTGGTGCTATTTAGTTGGATAACCATTGAAACTAATTGTACACCTTTGTGAAACAAAGGCCTTTTTAAAATGACTATTTCTTGATCTACCAACCTGCAGGTGTCTGGTATGGGGTTGAACTAGACAGACCAGTTGGTAAAAATGATGGCTCAGTGAATGATGTCAGATATTTTGACTGCAGACCAAAACATGGAGTTTTTGCTCCGTTGACTAGAATACAGAAGTAGGTCCTCTCATTACCAGTACTGTAGTTTAACATTTAACTCTATTTATTTCTTATTTTTGGTACTTTTAACTACTTTCTAGCTCATTCCTACTGCATAGCTTCTTAAGTAATATCTCAACAGTTTTTCAATGTATGCTTCAGATTAGGGGATAAAATGTTTAGTTCTAGCGAGTCACTTGACACTATTAGCTGGGGCGCTGTCTCGGAAAGAGTGGACAGAAAATCTATGTGTAAGTTTTTCTCAAATCACTCTTTTTATTACTGGTAATGACAAGAGACTTCAAAAGTTCCTCCTTGTTGTTGGAGAGTGTTTAAATTTACCCGCTAATGGAAACTTTTATACTGTTTTGTTTTCAGCTTTACATTCAAATCGTAGTCAAACTCCTACACGCCCGTCTCCGAAACAACAATCATTAAATCTGTCTCGTACTCCTGGTCAAGGACCTGGACAGATCTTGGAGCCTGGCGTCATGGTTTTGTGTAACAATGAATTAGGTAAGTGAAATGATTCAAAAGTGAGTCCAAACTAATCAGTTTATTGAAAATTTAATGTAATAATCTTTCCAGCTTGGCTATGTATAGTTTTATTTTAAAATATATTTTTAGCAATGCCACTTATCCTTTACCAATTCTAGAGTGAACATAGTTTATATTGTAAATGTGCTATCAATTTTTTTTATTCCCATATTGTGTGGTCACTTGGATCATACTGTATTGAATGACCATCTTGTCTGGTCAGCTGATCTATTTTGTTTAATCAATATGTACATTAAGTCTTTTGTAGTCAGTACATTTTTTGTATTGAATATGTACACTTTCCTAATTGTAGATGTTATTCAGCTCAATTTCGTGCTTATTTCGTTTTTTAAATTTGTATTTCAAGTGATAACTCTACATTTATCTTTCATCTCATCTAAGCAGTATTTCATTTATAATTTGTATTTCATTTGAATGGTATTCCTCCATTTATCTTTCTTTCATTTCACCTAGCAGTCATTTCACCACTTTTGTTCACATTCATTGTTCAGGTCTTTTCATCTCATAGTTGTGATCAAGTTACTTTCGCATACCTTCTCATAATGTAACCTGATCTTGAATAAATCTTTGAATCCAATCATTAGTCAGATTGAGACACTTGCAGAAGTAATAATTGTTGTTATTTCAGAGTTGTATTAGACTGGTAAGCTCAGTGGTTGCCATAGTGATACTGCAAGCACTATCCAAATTAAATAGCATATTGAATGTCTTCTTTAGTCACTCTAAATTTTGTTTCATTTATTTTGGGTTCTAGCATTTTGAAAATGAATTTTCTTTTTTGTTTTGTTTGTGGATAATTTAGCATGTAACTATTTGAATTCATAGGGCCTAGTTTCAAATCGATTTTGTTTGAATGATTGAACACTTTTCAAAATAAACAAATAAAACCAATTCTGTTTGATTATAATTTAAAGTTGATCCAAGTTTTACAGTTGCGGTAATTGTTTTTTTTTTTTTTTTTTTTTTTTTTAAGTTTACTGTCATGAAATATTTTTGTCATATCTTAGTGTTTACATAGCTTCTGGATGATGATAAACAGGTTTTTAATTTACAGAGTAAACATCGATAATTGTGTTTTATGAGAGTACTTTGGATTTCCTTTTGTTTCAAAATGCTTAAAACTACCTCTGTATAAAATTGCATGTTCTTTGACTCGAAGACTAATATAAAAAGTGTTTTTAACAAAAAAAATTTTTTAAAGATATCTATTTGAGTTTCTCCCCATCAAATGCATGTAGTTAATTTGTTAAATTATTTCCAGCATCCAAAATTTTTATTAACGTATGCTTGGTGCAGTATATATTCTTGCAAGTTTTTAACTTTGTTTGCAAAACTCTTAAATCATTTCTATAATGTTCATTCCTTGTAAAGCAGTCAAACATTTACAAAACACCAAAATAAAAATTTAGATAAAAATTGAAAATTAGTGCATGGTGTAAATGTTCTTTCATTTTATTTTTTTTTAACTTAATTTAACAGGTATTCAAATTAGGCATTGGATTACATGCTATGAAAATAAGTAGGATGGGCTGAGCTTATATTTACATGGGTCATGGTGGCACCTCCTCTCCAAGAAAATTTTTTTGGGAGGGGGGGGGGGGGGAGGTTTTCTCCCAAAATGGAAATTCTTACATCTTTTCCTCATTCCTTTTTAAAAGCTGATGCTGGATTTGGTCCGCCTGTGTATTTGGTTTCCCTGTACCTACCATGTCTGGTGGACATTCCCCTATGCGCCAACTGGGGAGAAGCTGGATGGGAGAACCACAACTCCCACACACGTGTTCTAGTGCCATATAAAAAACAAAAGATAACTTTAAAAAAAAAACACAAGATGAACTTACAAGATGAACTTTAAAAAACACAAGATGAACATAAATGTTCTTTTTTTAAAAGCCCCTGAATAAAAAGTGCATTTCAGTTAAATGATAACTAATAGAAGACACAGGTTTTTGTTCCTTCCTGAGAAGAGGCACTTGTTAAGATTTTTTTTTTTTTTTTTTTTTTTTGCTACTATGATTTGCTTTAAATGTTGGCTAAAACAGTTAAGAAGTGATGCATCCTGTATATTTATATACAAAGGACTTTTATTTTAGTGACTATAAAAAAAGTAGGAATTTTTTAAAACTTTGTCTTATTTTGTTTCCAGGTGTTATCAGATACATGGGGCCTACAGAGTTTGGTGAGGGAACATGGCTAGGAGTTGAACTGCGCAAGCCCAAAGGTAAGAACGACGGAAGCGTCCAGGGCAAGCGCTATTTCACCTGCCCACCCAACTGTGGTCTCATCGTGAAACCTAGTCGAGTGACCTTGCGGGGCATTAATGGTGCAAAGATTCTGGCTGAGCAGAATGCAGTGTCTCAGGGCATAAGTAGACACAGCAGAAACAGTGAGAGTTTATCTTGGAGCAGGTCCAGCAGCAGAGAAGGATCAATTGTAAATGGAAATGAGAGTATTGATAAATAGCTTTTTTTGTTTCTTTGTTTTTCTTTGTATATGTTTTGGTTAAAATTGTTTTAGAAAATTATTGTTGATAACGAAGTGTTGAAAATAAGATGAAAAATTATATATAGATCTATATATGTATATTTGAATCCATTAAGAGTTAGAAGCATTGCTATGTTTTTAGATTAGCTCTTAAAGGCATAAGATCTTAGGTATTTAACACAAGAAGTTTTTTTTTAAAACTTTTATAGATCTATATTGTGACCACATGTTCTAATACATAAACATAAGCATGTTTAAAAGTCTGTTATATTGTTATGTCAACACTTGGCAGAGACTGCTGCACATCATCAGTGATTTAGCAATTATACATTATTGAAAGCCTTAACATTGAAAATGTTTGAAAATTTGCATTAACTGTGTGATATTGTGTTGATTGAATCAACATTTTTATGTGTTGAATTTTTCAAATGTCAATAGATGACAATAAGTTTACATGCTATATTTAAAGATAGTTTTTTTATGGAAATCCTTCTACTAAAAGAAATTGCTTTTTTTTTTTTTTTTCCCACCTCCTAGTATGTACCCTATCATGAGCAACTAAGCGCTATCCAAACGCAAATAAAGAATAAAGGTTTGCATTAGTCACTGAAACAATAAATTAGATTTACTGCTTAGCATGGTTCAGTATTCTATAAGTCTGAAGACCATGAGCTTAAATTTTATCTGTTTGAGGCATAAACAGTATCTGATACTTTTTTGAGTTCTATAAGCTGAGAAACTTGAGACACAAGAAGTGTCTTGACATTTCTTCACATTTTTTTTTTGGTTTACCAGAATGTTTGTTACTTTGCAGTGAAATAGTTTGACTTTGAAATCAAAACTTTCTATTTTGTGATGCACACATGTATGTGTTCTATATTTGTATTCTTCAGATATGTCTATTTATTGTCTTTTTTTTTAAATTGCATAATTTTTTTTGATTCATTCAGTCCATTGTAACATTTTCTTTAGTCATTAACCCTAACAGGTGAGTTAAAATGGCTTACCTTTGAGTGTCAGAATGCCATTTCTATTTGTTTTATTTGAATGGGAAAATATTTTAAACATCGTAGCATTTGTACTTTTTTTTGTTTTTCTTCAGTTAAAAGCTGAAATTACTTTTTAATGGGTTCTTTGTATATTACCAATTCTTTGTTAATTAACACCGAGAAAACTATGATAAGAATTTTAATTTTTTTTTTTATAGTGTTTCTGATTCCTCTTATGATTGTAATGTTAATGAAATAACTTTACACACAGTTATTTCATCCTTTTTCATTATAAGATATACAACTGATCTGTTAATCCTATGGTCATTATTTTACAAATTACCTGAATCTGAATAATATATATATATATATATTTATTTTTTTTTCTATGGGATACAATCATACAAAGTTTTCTTTATTTCATCAACTGAACTTTGTAATAGCATTTACAATTCCAGTCATTTATTGCTGTTGACATAGTCCTGACAAAGTAACGTCCATTTAAATTTAATTTATTGCATCATTTATTGTTGACTTTTTTTTTCTTACCACTGTTATATGTAATGCATTACATCTAAATACATAACATTTTTGTTGTTGTTGTGTACTGCTGAATGATATAAGCCTGTCCAATATCATTTATTGGGATGTACATTTTCCATAGTGCATTTGATATGATCAGTAGCATCACACAGCCAAATGTATGGCTTAATGCAGTAAGGGTTTGTTGAGACCACTGCCCTATATAACTTCGAAACAGTTCAAAGAAAAACTTCATAAAGTCTAACTGTAAAAATATGTATTAAAATTCATTCCTTTAAGTTGCTTTATGTTATGCTCACATTCAACATAAATTTCAAAACTTTAAAGTTGTAGATTTTTTTCTACAAAATTTTAATTTTTAGTTTTAGTTCTGGTTTGGTCCATTACATAATTCAAATACATCCAAGACGATTTTTTGTCTACTGACACACACGTAATGCTTCATTCTTGCCTAGATTTGAACAGTTGTTCACAGCTACGTTTACTATTTTGCAATATGGTAATGTATATTTAAGTGGTGCATAGAGGGTTTCCCAAGCCTTGAAAAAACATGGATGCGTTATTCCCCCTTGCACAATATAGTGAACCAAACTTTCAAACCTTCAAATGCCTAGATTTGATTCATTTAGGTTTGAATAAAATTTCTTTGATTTATGTGTGATTGATCTTTTTTTTTTTCTAAGACCCAATGAGGTTGATATTTGGGTATATTTAACTTTATGTTGATTTTGCTGTCCTGTGGTTCAGATCTACATGACATTAATTATGTTTGTGTCCATTGTCCACTAAATCTAGTCTCTTTTTATATATGTATTTTTAGTTTCTTGTTAAGAAATCCAATGACCTGTTTGATTATATCTATTGCTTAAAATAAATTATTTATTTTAAAAGTAATAAACTGTCACTTTTTTTTCTTTTCTAATGCTTATAATGAAAATTGACTAACAAATTGTTACTAATGAAAGTTAGCCTACTAATTGCTTATTTTCCAGGCTTGCAACTGTTTAAAAGGAATATAATTAACTATTAATTAATCAAACAAAATGTTTTATAGCTTACAAAATGTAATTTTTTTATTCTGTGCCTTAAATCATGCCATGGAGAAATTTGGAGAATGTTAAAATATAGGACAAATAGGTATTATCATATCAATATTGGGCTACATGTCAAATGTTTGTCTGTGTTGCAGTGCTCCCTAGAATAAAACTGCTGGTGTGTGATGTACGATTAGTAAAAATGTGCTTTATGTTAATACTTTTTGTTGGACAAAATAAAAATATAAATTGAAAACATTGTATGATTTTGCTTGAATTTTAACTTTGTATGATGTTTCTTGTTGAACTGTTAATAAACTGGAATGTCAAGGTTGTATTCGGCAGTTCAAACCAGGCACTCCCTAGCATCATAACGGTTCCTCTGCAAAATAATGTGTGTGTGTGTTTGACAATGCCTATAATCCTTTTTATTTACTTCAAAAGGGTAGATGGTTACGTCCTAAGCGTGTCCTCTTTCAATCTAGTCATGCTCATTAATCTGTGACTTTGACCTGGCTGGCTCAGGCAACCCATTCCATGCTCTAATAAGCACTAGGAAAGAAGGAACATTTGTACATATTTGTCCCAGCAAATGGGATGATAAATGTTCCTCCTGCTTGCCTTAACTTGTTGATTAGCTGTCTTTTCCAAACGAGTTGGTCAGAACTTAACTGTTGTAAAAACAAATGTTTGTTGATCACCACCACTCCCCTACCCTTGTCTCAATCCCCCGCACAGACTTCACACGTCTGCTTTGGAAGACAATCCTAACATTTGGTTGTTGTTGTTGCTGCTGTATAGTAGTTAACATTTTCGGTGCTGCAGTTTAATTTTGAAGGTAATAACTCGATTCTCCGTTTGATCGTCTTATGAGCTGAGCCGAAGGCTCTTCGAGCTCAAAGTTTGAAAAAAAAAAAATGTTTGGACGCCAAACAATAAAAAAAAAAAAACCTGTGTGAACACAGTTCTGTTTGGGAAAGACCCGAGTCAATGCCTATGTAAAGCATTGCTGTTTCCAATGCCTTTGGCCCCGGACGCATGCTTGGCTGAACATGGCCGAAGGCCGAGGACACCGGGAGCCTCCGCCATTTTCCTTCGTTATACCAAGCTAACAGTGGGGGACTCGCCATTTATGTAACGGTCCCTTGAGGAACAGCGCATGGATGTGTGACAGGTTTATGTTTCGCCATTCATTTAGCCTAGTTACCCCCTCAAGTAACCGTTTCCATCCGGGTGCCACGATGAGGCAGAACAGCGTACCCGGGTGTCAGGAACCAAATTCCCTACTCGGACCTGAGACAGAGAATTGCCTCTGCCAACTATCGAGAGTGTCAGGATCGGTGGGAGGCTGAGACACACAATAAACTCATTACAGATTGTGGCGGATGTCAGGTGGCGGCCCACATCTAAAGGTCTGATAAGGCGTGGAAGCACGACCATGTCCAGACTTAGGATTGGCCACACCTACATTACGCACTTCTTTGTGCTGAAGAGAGAGGTGCCCCCCACTTTGTGAGTACTGTGACTCTCGTCTCACCTCATTGATTGCCCCAGATACCAGGATATTAGCGATGGGGGGAATTTTTTTCAAGAGCGCACAACTTGTGTGGATTGTCAACCTAAGACCTAAACTGTTAAAAGATCCAGTATTCTAGCCTAGACTATCATCAAACTAGAATTTTTATACCGGTACTCTGAGTAGATTTACGCACACGCTGAACTTCGCTAAATGATTTTTTTTTCCAGGGGGAGGAGCAAAATTGGGGCGGGATAATTTTTTTTTTAAATCTATCATTTATATTCCTCTTTTATGTTACATGTTTAAAAAAACAAACATTCCAGTCAATCTTACCATGATCTTACCTACAGTACTTGTACTATAATTAGATCTAGTATAACCCTTGGCCGTGATCGCTTGGCCTTGAACCTCAGTGACTTGTCCTCGTGGCGGGTTAAAAATTGTCAAAATCAGCAAAACATGAGTTTTGTAATATTTATCGAGATCTAGATTTCAGTAAAGCATACCACAATCAGTTCTAGATCTAGAGATCTTCAAGCGAAAATTGGATAAATAAATAATCTGAGTATATTGTCTAGTATAGGCCTATATTATATTATATAATATTATTATATATCATTATGGCATCCAAGACTGTGAGAAAAATAATAACTGCTGCCAATGCACCAACACCCCGCGCACCTTACAGGTAAGCCATATTGCCCTAATCAAGTCAACTAAGTTAGTAAGTAGGCCTAAACGTATTACTTAAGCCTTACTTAAGGCAATCCGCAATCTAGATTACTAATAAATGACGAAAATTAACTCTAGATCTACTAGATTTTAATACTCATTGATTTGATATTATGGTTAGCGATGGGCAATCTATTTTAGGAGCTGGACAAACATACTCTAAATAGTCTAGTCTCTAAAGAGTGTGACACTGAGGACTGAAGGGATACAAAAAGTAACAATGGTTGGACCATATTATTATGTCCATATCTATTTTGGAGTAAATTACATTTTGCGGTCACTTTTAAGACTTTTGCATATATTTTAACTTATCTAGCACTCTAAATCTTACTATCATATATTGACTCTAATTGAGTATTCAGAATGACTGGATGTACGGAACTGTTGAAATTGTTGTTGAGCATGTCTTTCCTCCCAGAAAAAATGCCAGTTATTAAAAGTAACACAAAAATTAAAACAAATAAAAACTACTTATTTTATTAATGGTAAACCAGTCACACAGACTTAAAACTCAAAATATCTATGTGTAATAATAAATTAAAAGTTCTGGAATCCCCATTGGTGAAATTATTTAAAAACTTGTGCAAAACATACGAATTTAAAAAGAAATGTTTATACATCAAACAAGAACATAAAACATAGGCCAATTAATATTAGAAATCCTCTTTTGGGATCCCTCAACTCAAGAAAACAAAGAAACTAGTACAAATACAAACAGAGCAGTGAGATTTATAACAAACAAATATTCTTTTTGATTAGAGTAACATCTTTTATAAAATCACTTAACTTAGAGACACTTCAGGACAGAAGAATAAAAAGTAAAGTAGCTATAATACATAAAACCACAATTTACAAACAGAAAAACAAAACCTAATGAAATACTCATAAAGACACAAAATAGAGGCACATTTCTTATTCCATATGCTAGAACTAATTTGTACAAGTAGGCCTACTCCTTCTACCATAGTGCCATTAGAGAATGGAATGGGTTGCCTGAATCAGCCAGGAAAACCAACGACTTGGCAGAGTTTAAGTCATTGATTAACACATGAAAAGCATAGGGCATAATTATTTTCTTTTTTGAAGTAATGTTTGTAATGTATAAGAAGATAAAAAGAAATTGTGAATAGTATTTGGAGTAGGCCTATAAACACAAGTTTATTGATTACTTCAAGAACTGGTTTTATATTCATGTCAGTTTCATTATTTATTTTTTTACATTACTATATAATATTTTATATATGTGACTGAACTTTTTTCTAGGCTGGAGTTGACCAGTGGGGAATAGTTTGCCCATCGTTGTTCTAGATTGATCTCTCTGTATTTTAATATCAAACTTTTGCTTATAGCCAGGGAGTTCAAGTTAATAATACATTGTATGTTTCTGGACAAATTGGCATAAACCCAGAGTCCAAAGAAATCGTTCAAGGTGGCGCTGTTGCTGAAGCTGATCAGGTAACATATATGTTGCTTAACGATAGTGATTTAAACAAATTAACTAGATGTAAATTACTTTATCATTGTTTTTTTGTTCCATTCAGTATTTCTTGAACACTGACAGATTATTGTTTGGTAATTTAAAGATTATATAGTTCTTTAGAACAGTGTATCTTAAACTTTTTCCTTAATGGAACACTTTGCACATTCTGATTATTTAGCGAAACACTTAAATTTTTTTTAAGAGACATTAATTCATGTGGTGGCATACTAGTTAATTATTCCAGTAGCTCATGTAACACCTATTCAGGCCTTGCAGAACACTAGGATTCAGCAGAGCGCAGTTTGGGAAACAATGCTTTAGGACTTTGCTTCCATTTCTAAATATGTGAATACCTAGGGTGCTCTTGACTTAAAACTTAAAGACTTGAAAGTAGTAAAATCTTTTTTTCCAGAGTAAGAAAAAATAAAAACACAATTTTTTATATTTAAACTTCTTGAATGAGTAAAAAATGTCAATAATATTCTTAAAAGAAAACAAGAAGATGCTAAAAAGTACCTTCTTATATATGAATCTATTAGACAAAAAAAAAATTTATTTGCAAAATTTTGCATAAACCTAAATTAAAAAAATTCTCTTCAAGATACTTAAATATCATTAACTCTTCCTTAACTCTTACTATATAATTTTTCTACTTCCCCTCTGCCAGATGTATATATAATTTGATAGTAGCATCACAAGAAAGTTCTGCCAAACCTTATAAATAATAATAATACCAGTAATTTAGTTTATATAGGACAGCTTTGAACAAACCAGAGAGATAGGTGACTTCTTCTTCTAGCTGGATTTTTGCTCTTGAGTTGTGAGCTCTTTTGCAGACTGTACCAATGAAAAAGTGTGCTGTTTACTTCAGCTGTTCAGCACTGCTGTACAGGGTGTTGGTTATGTTAGGCTGTTGTGGTAGTAGGGTCTACCTAAGGTGGATTAAGGGGCATTCAAAGAGTATATGGTTAAAGGTTTCATGGGGGTGTGCTCAGTGATTGTAGATTGCTCTTTGTGGGGGAGGAAGTTAATACTGTCCAGTTTGTTTGGCGTGGTCATTTCTTTGTACATATTATAACTCTACCTGTGTTTCCTGATGCCCTTTGGTTGAGCCACTCCTCTTTGTAATTGTTGACTAACAATGACCTTAGGGTGAGGAAGCTAGCAGGTATATTTTGTTGTTCCATAGATAACCCCGCCTTTGATAGGTGACAGATATAGAAGGATCTCTTCAACCTACACAAAATAAATGGGAAATGTAGTTGTTGACACTTTCATCCTCCACCCCTTGCTTATTTAGAAAAAAACAACAATATTAAAGTTGGAATTTCTATTTACAGGCTTTGAAAAATATTGGCGCCATTTTGGAAGCTGCAAGTACTTCATATGACAATGGTTAGTATCAGTATAGCAATAGTACTAGCATTTGATTAGGTCAAGTAGAAATTGGGTGCTTTACAACAGTGTATTGTTTTTAATTGTTAAGATATTTCTTGGGGGAATTATTTAAGTAATGTTTCATTATG